ATTTATGTGCTTTAGAACCAAGTATTGCTTTCAGTTGAGCATGTTTGTAGTGTTTACACCTGAGCTGGCAACCATGCTGCTAGAGATTGTTGGGACTGCCTGTTAACAAAAGTAGTCAATTTTCAGTTCCTAAGTGAGTGCATAAAGTGAATAAATGGTGTGGTGAAAAGCTAACCCAATATCTGAAGCCAAACTGAAATGACTTCTAGATTTGTATAACTTTCTATAGGTGGAATGTCTTAAAGATAACTAATGAGCTGTGAATATAGAACTTGGAATTCTAAAACTGGAAATGGGCTTAAGAGATCCTCTAGATTATTTCAACTTTTCCTGCAGATTTTTTTTTTTTTTTTTTGAGTTGGAGTCTCACTTTTGCCCAGGCTGTAGTGCAGTGGCATGCTCATAGCCACTGCTGCCTGACCTGCTGGATTCAGGTGATTCTTCTGCCTCAACCTTCCAAGTAGCTGGAACCACAGGTGTGTGCCATCACACCCGGCTAATTTTTTTTTTTTTTGGATTTATTGTAGAGAGAGATCGTGCCATGTTGCCCAGGCTGGTCTCGAACCCCTGGACTCAGGCAGTTCTCTCGCCTCCATCTCCCAAAGTGCTGGGATTATAGGCATGAGCCACCACGCCTGGCCAGAATTGCTTCTAACCCTTTCAAGATAGCCATCTGTTTTACTCTTGTATCCCTAAAGGCAGAGATTTGTGTGACACATTATTATAATATTTTATTATAAATATTTAGTTAGAATTATGCCAAAACTAAATCTTGCTTGCTGCGATTTAAGCTTTTTTCATTTGCTTTTGTCTTTCTAGGAGATGAAGAGTATTTAATAAGCATTCTCCTTAAGAGATCAGAAATGTATTCAAATTACTTTAAGTTTTCAACTACTTGAAATTTAAACTCTTTCAATGTAATGGGTTCGTCTTTAATTGGTTTATATATTTTTTTTCAAATTGACTTATACATATTTTTCAGGGGAAACCAACAAGATTCAGAGGAGAGCTTACGTGAAATTAAAAAAAAATTATGGTAAAATATACATAACAATGCTTATAATTTTAAAAAATTTGAAATCTACAGATCGGTGTTACTTAAGATTTTAAACTCACTTCTCACTCTCAGTCATTTGTCCTTATGTGTTCAGTGTGAGTTGTCCTTGTGCAACTGTGACAAGAAGCAAATATGCTTCTAGATTTTTAGAGGACATTAACTTAGGAGTTAGTACTGGCTTTATTTCTCAGTATAGATGTGAAATCATGCTTTTGGTGTCATGTCTAAGAAATCTTTGTCTAACCCAAGGTCTCAAAGATTTCCTCCAACTCCTTCCAGGAGTTTTTTAGTTGTTGTTTTTTTTTGTGTGAGTTGGAATCTTACTCTGTCGCCCAGGCTGGAGTGCAGTGGCACGCTCATGGCCACCACAGCCTCGACCTGCTGGGGTTTGGGCGATCCTTCTGCCTCAGCCATCCAGGTAACTGGAACCACAGGCACATGGAACCACTCCTGAGTAATTTTTTTATTTACTGTAAAGATGAGGTCTCGCAAGTTGCCCAGGTTGGTCTTGAACCCCTGAACTCAGCCAATCCTCTCGCCTTGGCCTCCCAAAGTGCTGGGATTACAGACTTGAGCCATCACGCCTGGCCAATAAAATATCTTTAACTAGCATATAGACAGCGTTGACCTTTTGTCTTCCTCTTGATAGGCTAGTGCTCTGAAGTTTTGGCATTGCAGCATCCCGGGTTGCTTGCAGGTATCTTCAGAGCAGTGTGTATGTTTTAGAACACTACATACATCCAATGTGGATAGAACAGATGCTTTCTAGAAAAGTAACTTGGGAAAAGCATTTTGTAAAATATAATATTCTATTGACATTCTCAGCATTGTCAGAGGCAGTTTACTAGATGAAATAAAGATGTAACCACAAAGCAATGAAATAAAATGAGAATCTAGATGTGAAAATCTGTTGTGCCTCTTATCTGACCTAACAGTGCCTAGTCTGCCTAGTCTTACTCCATTTCTAAGAGTTGTCTGGTTTTATTTCTTTACATTTAGGTTGTTGATTCATTTTGAGTCAATTTTTGTGTATGGTGTGAGATGGGAGCCAACTTCATTCTGTGTGGCTTAATTTTGATGATGTTTATGCTCTGGGACTAGCTTCTCATTGACACTACATTTAATGTATTCTTTACTTGTTTAAATGTATGCTTTACTTTCTTGGCCACCACTAAAAATTGGGCCAGAAAAGTGTGCAGGGTTTTCTGGTGGGCAGAAAACTTAAGGATGTTCTATTACTACCCAAAACCAGTTGTGTTTAAAGGTCAATTTATCTTTTTCCCACTCCAGCCAGCTTTTCTTTCTGATTTGATTTTTCCTTGTTCTTTTAGTAACTCCAGTGTTGTCTTAGATGTTCGACTTGAACTGAATTATTTCCAAGGCCCTTTCTTTCCTCAACACCTCAGTTCATTTGCCAAATCCAGTTAATTTTCACCTGGATTTGACAGTGTACTTCCAAGCTCTCTGATTTTTCCATTCCCCTGTCACAGCCTTAGTTTACAGATTATATTACCAATTTAACAAAGTAGCATAGGCGTAGTCTCCAAATCTGTTTTCTGTACCTCACTTTCTTCCTTCCAGTCCATTTTGTGGACATACTTTTATTAGATCAGTCTTTCTAAATCACAACTTTGATCTTGGCCCTTTTCTCAGAAACCTCTAACAGTGTCTTACCACATAAAGAGCATAGAGCTTTAGCTCGACATTGATTCAAACCCTACAAAGATTGGTCCCAGTTTACCTACTTTTCCTTTTCCTGGCATATACTTCTACTGAATAGTCTACTTCTCTCTGCTCCATTCAAACTAGACTGGTGCTCATTCCTGCATACACTTTCTTTTTTGATTTGGAGTCTCACTCTGTCTCCCTGGCTGGAGTGCAGTGGCAGGATCACAGCTCACTGTAGCCTTACCTTCCTCAGCTCAGTCTTCCAAGTAGCTGGGACTACAGGCATGCGCCTTACCCACCTCAGCCTTCCAAGTAGCTGGGACTATAGGCATGCGCCACCACACCTGACTAATTTTTTGATTTATTTGTCTAGATGAGTTCTCGCTGTGTTGCCCAAGTTGGTCTTGAACTCCTGGGCTCAAGCAGTCCTCCTGACTCGACCTCCCAAGTGCTGGGATTACAGGTGTGAGCCACTGTATTCAGCCCACACATAGTTTTGCTTTCTCAATTTTTTTTTTTTTTTTTTAGTTGAACTCTCACTCTGTCGCCCAGACTGGAGTGCAGTGGCCGCTCCCGGCCACCGCAGCCTCGACCTGCTGGGCTCCGACGATCCCTCCGCCTCAGCCTTCCAAGTAGCTGGAACTACGGGCACACGCTGCCATGCCCGGCTAATTTTTTGGTTTATTGTAGAGATGAGGTCTCACCAAGTTGCCCAGGTGGGATTCGAACCCGCGGGCTCAGACAATCCACTCACCTCAGCCTCCCAAGGCACAGGATTACAGGCTGAGACACCGAGCCCGACTTGCTTTCCCAATTTTAAGCTCTTTCCTTTTTCCTAGAATATTGTTTTTTCCTTTCTTCCTACCTCTTAAAGTCCTACTGTTTGTCTGAAATTGGCATACTGATCATTGTTCTTAGTAGTATTTTCTTTTTCCTTTTTTTGAGTGGGAGTTTCTGCTGCCTAGGCTGGAGTGCAGTGTGGAACTCTTACGGCCACCACAGCCTTGGGCTGCCAGACTCAGGTGATCTCTCTGCCTCAGCCTTCCAAGTGGCTGGAGGCACAGGCGTGCACCACTATGCCTGGCTAATTTTTTGTTGTTGTTGTTTATTGTAGAGACCAAGTCTCGCCAAGTTGCCTAGGCTGGTCTTGAAACCCTGGACTCAGGCAGTCCTCTCGCCTCTGGCCTCCAATTGTTGAGATTATAGACGTGAGCTGCTGCACCCAGCAGTAGTGTTCTCTTTGAACTTCTCCTCTGTTACCTTTTTTTAAAAATGTATTTTAAAAAAAAATTTTTTTTTTTGAGTTGGAGTCTCACTCTGTCGCAGTGGAGACTGGAGTGCAGTGGCCGCTCCCAGCCACCACAGCCTCGACCTGCTGGGCTCCGGCGATCCTTCTGCCTCAGCCTTCCGAGTAGCTGGAATTACAGGCACATGCTACCATGTTCGGCTGATTTTTTGATTTTCATTGTAGAGATAAGGTCTCTCCAAGTTGCCCTGGTGGGTCTTGAACCCGCGGGCTCAGGCAATCCACTCACTTCAGCCTTCTAAGGCGCGGGATTACAGGCTGAGCCACCAAGCCCGGCTTAAAAAATTTTTAAAGATAGGGAGTACATTTCAGAATTAAGTACCTAAGTGGTCATTCATTGTACAGATAAATTTTGGGTCTCCCTTTCGTCTCCTTCTTGCCTGGTTTGAGATCAGGTACTCTCTTGGCTTTTTTTTTTTTTTTTTTTTTTGAGTTGGAGTCTCACTCTGTCGCCCAGACTGGAGTGCAGTGGCCGCTCCTGGCCACCGCAGCCTTGACCTGCTGGGCTCCTGCCATCCTTCCGCCTCAGCCTTCCGAGTAGCCGGAATTACAGGCATGCGCTACCACGCCCGGCTGATTTTTTGATTTATTGTAGGGATGAGGTCTTGCTGCCCAGGCGGGTCTCGAACCCGCGGGGCTCAGGCAATCCACTCACCTCAGCCTCCCAAAGTGCGGGATTATAGGCCGAGCCACCGAGCCCAGCTTATATAAATTTTTAACAATAATGATTATTGTTGTTAATAATTGATTTGGACCCTATAAAAGTTGGCCCCATTCCAAGCATATTTCCTTTTTTTTTGCTAAAAAAGTTAAAGTGTGTATTTATTCAATACCTAGTATAGATCAGGCATGAAATATTCTAGGTGCTTGGGATATATACTAAACAAAATAGCTTTCTGCGCTACCCGCAGAGGGGTCCATACGGCGTTGTTCTCAATTCCCATCATAACTTAAAGGGAAACTTTCACAATGTCCGGAGCCCTTGACGTCCTGCAAATGAAGGGGGAGGATGTCCTCAAATTCCTTGCAGCAAGCACCCACTTAGGTGGCACCAACCTTGACTTCCAAATGGAACAGTACATGTCCGGGCGCCGCCTCGCGGCCTCAGCCTTGATTTTTATTCGGGGCCGCGACTGCTCGGCTGGAGCCCCTCAGCCCCTCAGGCCCCGCGGCTGCGCCTCAGAGATTCCGCTGCCTCTCCCGGTCCATATTTCCTTTGTATAGCCTTTGTCATTCAGTTTATGAGGGAATTTATTTAGAAAAATGAGGTAGCAGTTATTTAGATGTAAATGGACAAAACTATTTTGTAAGCTCTCTAAAATTCTCTCAGATCTTTGCCAGTGTGTTTCCATTGAGGAAAAACTGTAAAAATATAAGCACATAATAACTTAAAATAGTTTAGAAAGGCCTAAGGAGGGGTTGCAAACTAAAATACCTATAGGTACCAGATGGGTAGCAAAGAAGTATGTGTGAGCTGGAAAGCACTTGCCTTTTGTAAAGCAGGTGTCTGATATTTGGCTTAAGTCAAGTGTTGCCATGCTGGAATGGATGCCCAGTGTTAGTTTTTTACATTTTTTTCAAGAGAAGTCAAAAATACAGATTTTTATGGGCAGTGTCGTGCTTTTTAAATGTTGGCAGTTCAAGTAGTTTTAAAACACTGGGCCAAATAAAGTACATCAACTGTAGACAGGATGTAGTCCTTGGGCCACTCGTTTGTAACCTCTGTACTAAAAGTAAAAATCAAACATTCCCTCCTGTTTCCAGATACAGACACCGCTAACAGTTTCTTCTGTACCTTTTAGAAAATTTCTTTGCGTACAGATAGCATACATATACTTTTCGTTGCATAGTATACATAGATTTTTTTTTTTTTTTTTGAGTTGGAGTCTCACTCTGTCGCCCAGACTGGAGTG